AAAAAAAAAAAAAAAACAATAAAATTAATTATTGCGGATTATCTGATAGCAGTAGATGAAAAAAAAGGGCTGTTTGGCGACCGAGAAAGTAGAGAGAAAACTGGAAATCAGAAAGAAAGAAAGGGATAGAAAGAATACCAAGAGAAGGATGAGATTGGCGAGGAAGCGACTGGAGTCGAGATTGGAAGAATCGAGGAATTCTCGCGACTGCATGAACATCAAAACACTCTGAACTTGCTCTAGCTTCCTCAACTCTTCCATATCAGCTAGCTCAATCTCCCTCCGCTGCTTGGCGCTCTGCTTTGGCTGTGTGCTAATGTCTAGTGCGCTCTGTGAAATTGAAAGCAGAAACCGACAAAACGCTGAATACTTATGCCCCGTTTGGCCATAATTTTCACGGTATTGTTGTCCGCAGTCCGCAACCAGTCCACTAAGTGTGATAATTAAAATATCAACATTTTTTTATAAAATTGTTTAAATAATTTTATAAAAATTACGGTATTTTAAATGCAATATATTTTAATTTTGACTTTTCTCCAGCAAATTTTACATGTAACCAGTAAAAAAAATAAATTGTGTCTAGACAGCAAAAATTTAAACAATTGAATAAAGCAGACCCTCAGATATAGGCTTGTTCTTCTCTTGTTAGTGCAGGTTTCAGAATAAGGGACATAAGTACATAACTATAAAATAAAATAACCGTAACACGTAGTTTTTGAGAAAATTATTAAAAAAGTTAAATATTATAATTTTAAAATCGATTAATATTTCTATTATAATTATCAAATATTAAAATTTGAACAACCAATAATACCAAAAAAAAAAATTGAACAATCAAATAATTAAAATCCCAAATAAAAATAAAATTGATAATCATATTTTGAATTATACAAATAAATGGATATTTCACCTCCTACCTTCCACCTTACATTTTCTATCTTCCATATTCACTTAACTTCATTTAGAATTTTATTAAATTACCTTCATGGCACCACTAGTAAATTTTGTTCAACGTTCCACTTAATGCATAAATCTTCAATTAAGTTTATTCTTTCAATTTATGTAGCATTCATTCTCTCTTAACCTATATATAGGCTTGCATTATATGACGAAGATATAAAAATGAAGGAATAGAAAACATTGCTGTTAGCCATACTTTCTCCTCTCTTCTTTTCTCATTGTTTTACCTTATCTTCCTTATATATTCTTACCTTTCTCTAACTCAATTATCACTTATTTTATAAAACATTATCAACACAATTGTCTTCACTATTCAATTTATGGTAATATCTTAAGGTAAATCTTTGTTTCCTAATTTCAATTTGCTTTCATATTATATTAATATTTGATAAATTTTCGTAACTACAATGTCAAACTTAACGAAACTTGAATTTGCTACTCTTGATATAATGAGCTCAAATTATTTGCCATGATACTTGATGTTGAAATCCATTTGACAAGAAGTAATCTTGGAGAAACACTTGCTGAAGGACATCAAGTGTCTTTACAAAATCACGCTAAAGCAATGATATTTCTTTGCCATCATCTCCATGAGGAAGTGAATACTAAATATTTGATTAGTAAATATCCATTAGAATTATGACAGAATTTGAAAGGAAGATATAATCACAAAAACTTAGTGATTTGCCAAAAGTTTGTTATGAATGGGTGCATTTGCAGTTTCAAGATTTTTAATCTGTTAGTGAGTATAGCTCCATAGTATTTTAAATTTCATCTCAATTAAAATTATGCAAAGAAAATATTATTGATGAAGACATGTTGGAGAAAATATTCTCCACTTCTCATGCCTCAAATTAGCTCCTTAAACAACAATTTTGAGAGTGTGGATTTGAAAATTATTTTGAATTGATATCATGTTTTATTGTTGTTAACCAAAATAATGAGTTTTTGATTAAAAAAAAAAAAAATTCATCAGTCACAACCTATTTGGTTCAATGTCATTGCTTAAAGCAAATACAACCTCATAAAGAATAATGGGTGTGGTTGCGACTGTAGTCATGATTATGGTCATGACAATAGCCATGGTCAGAATAACACTTAATATTGTAGTGGTTTTACCCCAAATATAAATTTGCTAAATAAAAGAATATAAGAGGTAAAAATTTATAAAAGAACCCTACAAAACATTCTAAGAGCATTTGTTATTGATATAAAGTAAAAGAACATTGGGAGTATGTCTATTGCACTATTAGGTATTTGGTTAATTTTTACCAAATCTCACTTAATGAAAAGGGATAGGACACATAAATGAATTTCATGGAACGTAACAATAGGGATCTTGATATACACGTTGATGTTGCAAATTTCTGGAGGTGTTGAAAAGTTTAAAACCAAATGTGCAAATTACCTTCTAAAATTGTTACGTTGAAGCAAATCAACACCAAAAAAAATGTTGACACTATTTGCCATCTTAAATTTTCATTTTCAAGAAATCAGTCCAAATTAAAGGTTGTTGTTAAACTCTATTAACTATTGCTCTTGAAGTTTAATAAAAGTTAACTATAACCATTAAACTTAGGTCGATCTCTTAAAAATGAAAATTTGGAATGACAAATTACACTAACATTTTTTTGTGTGGCGATTTGTTTTAACACTACAATTTTGATGGAGGGAATCTGCACCTTTTGCCAAAGTTTAATGGTATTGGTGATGGAAATACCCAACCAATAATTTCACTTATTGTGTCCTCTAAAATAGTTTGCCCTAAATGGTTATTTTCCTTCTTTTACATGTCATATATGTCCTTTTTATATTCAATAAAAGAACAAATCATTTTACAATATATATTGTTTTTATAATATTTGAATTTTGTTTCTTCTGTTTTATTTGTGTTTATTTAAAGACCAAATGGCTTTGGATGATGCTAAAATCAATGATAGAGACCTATATCTGTTGATAGTAACACAACATATACCATCTTGAAAAATAAAATAATTTTTCTTAATTAAAGTTAGTTGATACTAATGCTCATACAATATCTAGTATAACAATTTTGATTGAAAAAAAAGCTTGTATTTTATTGCTTGGAGGAACACAATTATTATTTATTAATATATGATGCTTGGTATTATAGTTGAACAAATTAAAATTTACTAAATTTTAAAAATATAAATAAAAATAAAATTATGTCTCGAATTATAGATCAAGCACTTATCAAATAAAATTTTTGTTCATTAATTAATTTATTTAGAAAAAAATTATTGAAAAAGATTTAATTGGACAAATCTCATTCTTTAAACTCACCAATTCAATCCCATGATGTTAAAAAAAGATCTATTTCGACAAAAAATTCCTTGATCTTGAGATATCATGTTTGAGTGTCATATGGGCACTAATGTATTTAATTAATAATTAGTAACCTGATATCATATTTTCTATAAGTTGATAAGTAAGATACAGTTGTATATCAACGCAAAAACATAAAAATAATATTAAATATTTATTTCGTTACCTTTAAAGGGCAAAGATTACTTTATTTAGAAAACTCGATAGACATGCAGACGTTGGATATTTTCTAAGTGCAATTTAAATTTATTATTTCCTTCTTATTACAATTAAATTTTCATTCAAAACTGACCGAGAAGCAAGAAAGGAAAACAGAAGAAACATAAATGCGGGAGTAATGGTTATTCTGGTTCTAGAATAGCAACATACAAACAGAGAAGCAAAAAATATTGCTTCTCGGTCATCTCCTTTGAAACTGATACAAAAAGACAAAAAGTTTCTGGCAGCATCAGTTCTGGAAGAGTCTAACTTCTTTTTTAACAAAAAAAATCAACACACCTAGACAAGCATCCAATCAGGATCTGCTGCTCCACAATACTATGCTCTGTCATTGATGGTTTCCCAGTTCATATATGAAGCTTGACTTTCATGGATTTCCAGTTGTCCTGCCTCCTCAGTCAAATTGCTTGCTTCTTGCTTGCCACTTGCTTCTTGCTTGCTTTCCCATAGTTTCGCAAGCTTTCCAATTGCAAGTACCAGCTCAAGCTGTTTTTGCTGTTGATCCTACAGGGACGAACAATCCATGGTCAATTCAACATCAAATTAGAAGAAACACCGTATATATAATTAAGCACAGAACAAAAGAGAACTATTCACAGAAACAGAGCATCCATTTAAACATTAATTACATAATAGCAC